CTATTCTTGTTTGTATAAAAATGATTTGAAACAGTTTAACTTTTGTGTTTGGTATTATTTCTATTTTTTCTACTTCCTTGTGTGCTTTAAAATAATGGAAGATCACATATCTTTTCCTAATGTTGGTGATTTGTTATACTATATTCTTTTTTTGGAATGTTGAAGGCAGCAACTTAACAATTGTTGTTTATGTTTTTGGTGATTAGTTACTTCATGGAATCCAGTGCCAGCGAGGGACCAAGTTCACAGGCCGCCAGACAACGTCGAGTTTGGAATGAAGATGAGGAACGTGCTCTTATTGTAGGTTTGCGCGATCTTGTCGCACGTTGATGGAGATGCGACAACGGATTTCACAATGGATACACCACCATATTAGAACAACACATGCAACAGATCTTCCCGGGAACAAACATAAAAGTTGAACCTCACATATCATCTAAGATCACGGTGTAGAAAAACAATTATGGTTTGCTTTTGGGAATGCTTGGTACATCGGTTCGCATGGAGTGACAGAGAATATGATTACAGTGAAGAATGATGTCGTGTGGAAAGACTACCTGAAAGTTTGTTTTACAATTTTCATTCCGTGTTATGTATACTACAAAGTTAAGAGAGGCATTTACATTTGTTTTCTATTCATTGTTTTAGGCACATCCATAGGTCAAAGGATTGCGTTATAAACCTTGGCCCTTTTTCCTGGATTGGATGGAAATATTCGAAAAGGACCATGCAACAGGAGAAGGGGCACAAGGTTTCACTAACGCAGTTAATGGGGTCTTACATGATACAAACGTCGAAGTACCGAGGCCAAACCCCACTAAAGACCCTCGGGCGGAACAATTTGATTATCCTCAAAATAACTATGACTCTTTTTCGGCTCAAGCAGGTGAGAGTAGTGCATCCAGTAAGTCTAAGCGTGACGGAAAAAGAAAGCGTAATGTTGAGCTGGAGGATAAAATAGTCAGGCCACTGTCATCCGTTTGCCAAGAGACTAACAGCCGTCTTTCAGAACTGTCCACACGTGTCGGACACGACGTTGATGCCAAAGCACAACGAACAGCCGTTTACGATGCACTGCAAAAAATTTCTACCTTAACAACGGATGAAAGGGTCGCTGTTGCTCGGTACTTATCCAAGAACGTTGACGAGATGGAACTGTTTTTCAGCATGGACGATGATGGAAAGAGGTCGATGGTGTACCAAATATTGACCGGGTTAGCATAGTACTGGTAATCACTCATATTTAAGTATATCGTCGTGAACCTGCCTTTTGTCTTTTTGCATTGTGAACTTCATTGGTTTTATTAAGTTATGTATGTGGATGTGAAACCCTAATGTTGAACGATGCACGTATTACCCATTTTGTTCCGGTCTACATACTTATATCGATCGTTTGGTATGTGTATAAGTTTGGGGTTGTTAATGTAATCCCTTGGATTCATGACAATGCAACCACCAGTTTCATTGTAAGCTGAAACAACATTCGAATTCGTCATGATGTCGCCAACTACTTCCGATTTCTATACAAATATATGGAATGACTATGTGTTTGAGGAAAATGCTTTAGGGATGTAACAGCTCTTTCCTATAGTTGAGGAAAAATGTATTGTTCTATGTTGTACAACTGTACATTTCTCAAACGGATTTTGGGATATAAAATAATACACTATGGAATGGTGACTATGAGCCCGTTACTTGACATATAAATAACATAATGACATGTTAAATATATCTCCCTTTCTAAGAGCATCTCCAATGCTCTAATGTTGTAGTATAATAAATTTTGCCAAATGTCAATAAATTAAATAGATTGTGAATCATGTATGAAAAATGTTAAGTCTACAACTATGAAATTAAAATATTCTCTCCAATGCACAATATAGTATAACTACAATATTGTATACTTATCAAATGTTAAAAATATTAAAATGAAGAAATAAATTAAATAATTAGATTACTTATAATTGGTAAGAATATTTCTCTCTCTTTTTTCATTGGTTAAATAGAGTGTAGAAGAGAATGTGGATGAACCACATTCTTCTCTACATTGTAGACATTAATTATGTCCACATCATCACAACATTTGTGATCACATTGTACATTGAAGATGAAAAAATGGTGAATTTATTAAATGTGTTGATGTGGAATGTAATTTACCACAACAATATTTGACTATTGGAGATGCTCTAATAGGCATTAATATGTAACTAAATTTAGCAGTACAAATACATTTCATAACCTCATGCCGCATGTTCCTATAGCTTTACCACAGTATAATTACATAAAGTGCTCATTGGACTTGAAGACAAGTGATTCACTCATGTCCAACAACAACAAACCCATCCTTTTTTATTTCATTACAATAACAACAAGCATTACAATTACAACTACCAATATCACAAGTAATAAATCATAAATCTTATCAATTTTAGAATAAAGTTCACATCTTCGTTTCTTCCAGGATGCACTCCAACTTCGTTGCTTAAGCGAGATTTGTCTCTTAGGGTGACTTGGTCTTCATTTATTGGATTAGCCCAAGCAACAAACCCATCGTTATCACAAGCGTAATAGAGTTATTGGTGATTTCGACTTTTGGGGCTAACGATCTTAACTGAATGTTTCATTCCACAATGGTGATATATCTTTTCCGCATACTTGAGTATACTCTGTCTGCCAAAGTTTGAAGTGGTTGACGTCTGCGACATTTTTAAGCCTTAACCAAAAGAAAAAAAAAATAATTGGAATGTTATTAGTTAACCAAGAACGACCAAGAAAATTTGTATTGAAGTTAGATACAACCTGGATGTCAACAAATGTATGGGAACAAAAATTAACATACTGGATATCTATTAATGAATCGATACACTATTCCGTTTAAAAAATCATAACACACTATACAGCAATCACGGCATGTAACTGTGCTGTTAAAACTGAAGTGACCAGGAAGAGAAGGCCGAATCCTCACCAACATTATCAGACCCCCTTTAGGTTGGAAAACTAAATCTTCCCCTTTCTATTCTTGCATATTAAATATCGGACAAGGCGTTCACCTTCAAAAAAGTTGAGAAACCATACTTCACAAAATCACAAACCCTAATTTACAAGACAAGTCGTATTTCCAATATGCCGCAACCCTGACGCCCAACATCACATAACCCTATTTTACCGAATTGAAATTTTTATCTTGGACAAAACAATCTTAGAAACTTTTTACCTCTGTAGTTTATGAGACAAGCAACCCGGCTTCTGAAATTCTGAACCTGTGAAATCGGCCGATGGACTTTTCGTTGTGGGTCGCTGGATTCCTACACAGAGTCTTGAAATGTGCCTGGGTCAATTTGTGTCCTTTTGTAGTGGGCAGAGGTCTGAAATCGCTGGATTCCTAAACAGTGCATTATCTCACTTCTCCTTCTTTTTTATTATTTTCTTTTTTGGGTTTACATTAAACAATATTTCATGGTATGTGTAATAAACGATTGAGTTAATGTGGCTCGTACAATTACCAACTGTAGGTTCACCAAAAGCAGAATCACACATAATTGATAAAGTACGACAGATATCCTAAATATCCTTACCGACAAGCAAATCAAATGTTACGAACACGAAAAATGTTGAAGAACCAAATTTTCTCTAAAGATTTTGTTAAATGTCGTTTATTAAACTATTTATCAACTTTCCACATTGATGATGTCCCAAAATGAGTACTTACCCACATGTACTATTTTCGCGTAAATACATGAATCTTAATTTCCCTCTATTAGTCAACAAACCTGTAACAGTAGAGTAGCATGTGTTTGTCATAATGGAAATTTAAATAGTATCCGCTTTAGGGTTTAGTCGATGCCACCCGCGCGGGTGGCACCCATTTTTACTATTCACCTATCACAGCGTGCCACGTGGATATAACTCATTTCAGCTTCTTTTTTTTTTTTTTTGCCAGCATGAATTTCCATATAGGCAATTATATTTTAGCTTTGTTTTTTTCATTTACTAGTGACCATAGTTAGGAACCATGGTTACCAAATTAGATCTAAAATCAAATTCACATCAGATCTAAAATCAGAATCCATCGCCCGCTGCGAGTGAAACATCAGTTCATCGAGAGATTCAGCCCCGATTCACAGAGATCCGTCGCGAGAGAACAGAATTCATCTCGAGATTCAACCCCGATTCACAGATCCGTCGCGAGAGAACAGAATCCATCGCCTGCATTTGGGGAAATTCTTAAATCCGTTGCGAGAGAACACAATCCATCGTCTCGAGATTCAACCTCGAAATTCTTAACCATTTCATCGCCCGATTTCACAGGTAAAAGTGTTAGGGTTCTTTTTAGTAGAATAAAAGTAGTTATTTTGAAAATCAGTTTTGTGAATTTGAGGAATTAGGGTTCATCGCCCAATTGGAGAATTAGAGTTTATCTTAATTAGGGTTTGTCTTAATTATTTGCTTACTCTATTTTGTGATTTTGCAGAATTAGGGTTACTCTATTTTTCTTCCTTTTTGATTTGCAGAATTAGGGTTTCTCTTAAATTTCGATTTTTGATATGTTATTCTAATATAATGTGCTTATGGAAATTCGATTTTTTCAGTTTTTGGGTGATTTCTCTTAAATTTCGATTTTGCGAAATTAGGGTTACTATATTTTGTGATTTTTCAGTTTTTGGGTGATTGTTGTCATATGTTTGACTTGCCATTTAATCTTTATCTCCGAGGCACCATTGTTTTTTTTTTCACGAGATCTTTTATTTTAAGTTGTGCATTGACTGAAATTCTTTAGCTGCACATTAATGTCTTATGTTCGTTATTTGGCCAAAGTTTACTAACTTGTGAACACTTGCTATTCATTCGAATAATACGTGCTATTAATGGTGTATCCTTTTTCTGTTTTTTTTTTCTTTTTTCTTTGTTGGACTTGAAGTTATGATCAAGAAGAAATATATGTAAAGTTACTCGTTTAGCTTTGGTGACGGAATAAGATGTTTAGGAAAATTTTATATATTTGGTTTTATTATTTGTTCTTCGAAATCTCAGAACAAAAAGAAGGTATTATATGTGAAAAGACACTTAGTAGATATTTTAGGGCATAAAACCTCAATCATATCTGCCATAAAAACTAATTTCTCTTAATGATTCAGAATACTATGGAAACTTCCCCAGCCGAAAACTTTTTGGGGGAGTTCTATTAATGTCCACTTAAGATTTGCTTAGTTACCATCAGAGTACTAGATTCAGAGGGCTATTACATACCTGCTGAGGTTTGCTTATAAGTATCTTGCAACTACAAAGCAACACGGTTACAAGAAGAATTATGCAAGTTATTCAAGTTATGAAAGAAATATTTCTGTCACAACTTTAAGGTTTATAAGAAAGTGTTGTGTAAGAAAGTCAAGTACCTCATACCGAAAAAATCATGCATTTTTAGATTCAAACTTATTTATTCAAATATCAACACTAAGATTTTTTTTTGCTTGTTCTATTGATTGAATTTGGATTTGGGTATCGAGTTGTTGTTTGAATAATAACATTCCAAATTCAAACTTTATTTTTTTGAAGGTTTGAAAATGTCACAGACTTCAACCACTGAGATATTTGGAAGACCAAGTAGACTGAAGTATGAAGATCAAATATGTGAGAAATGTGGAATGAAACTTGCAGTTAGGATTGCTAGTTCCCGAAGTCCAAATTTTCAGAAACTCTATTACGCTTGTGATAGAGATGGTGGATTTATGGGTTGGGCTAATCCAATAAATGAAGACGAAGTAAGCATAAGGGAAGAAGTTAGCACAAGCGAGAAAACTATAGTAGATCGTGAGAGCTACAAAGATGTGAAAAAAAAAAAATTGATAAGATTTTTGATTTGTTACTTGTGTTATTTGTAGTAGTAATTATAATGCTTGTTATTATTGTAATAAAAGTTGGTATTTTTACTACTTGGACATGAATGACTATTCTGTGATATGAAGGAAATGAATTTTTTTTATTGTTCCATTTATTTTTATTTTTGTTTTATTTATCTTTTCTCTTAACAAGTTGGTGTAAGGAGTTTCAGAGCTTGTTGTCACTTGTTTACAATATAGCATTCTTCATTTTTTCCCTTGGAATTGGATCAATTAACCAAGAAAATTGTCTGTGTAATGTTTGGAATCACAAATCACAACATAAATCTACACATTTTCCTATTTTTTTGCTCTTACCTCAACAAAGGCATAAATGGAAAAGAAAATTACATTCAAAGTGCACCATAAACATCAAGTTGTAAAGCTATGTACATATATCATAACAATAATCTTATGTAATCTTCTTTAAAATCATTGTTGTTCCACAATAATGGTTCACAACAAACATCTTTAATGCCATACAATCAAAAGTCTATGCAAAATACGTAACTCCAAACAAAATCCATAAGAACAGTAAACTTGTGAATGCTTTCTTTCTAGGAAAGACTCTTCCAAAAAGATCTCCCTCTAACAACACTATTACAACACAATAAAGAGAATCTAAAAATAGATGAGACAGTGCATTTGCTAACATCCGATCACCATCATCTTCAATTATCGAAAGGTCCCTACAAAAAATAGATTAAAATTGTAAAGATTATAACATTATTCAATATTAATTTACAAAACAATAGATTTGGTATGATGTACCTGTGATGAAAAGGGATTCACTTGATAACCAAAATGATTAAATGGACCTACATTGATGTTTCCATCTCCTCCCTACACATTAAAAAATAAATAAATAAAAAAAGTATTAATTTTATTGATATTCTTGTAGAACAAAGTAATAAAAGCATCATTTACCTCTTGATTTATGTTAGGCCAAAGCATCGGAGCCGGAGCCGGAGATGGATAGAGTGGAACATAATTTGAGGGGCATGTGTTGACATCATTTTGAGAAGATTGAGTCGGGCCACCTAAATTGATGTTTCCACTTTCTCCCTACAAATTAAAATAAAATAAATAAAAAAAATTATTATCCGATTCATATTTTTAATTAAAAAATTACTTACCCCTTGATTTATGTTAGTCCAAAACATCGGAGCATGAGGTGGATATTGAGTCGGGCCACCTAAATTGATGTTTCCACTTCCTCCCTACATATTAAAATAAAATAAATAAATTTGTAATATTCTTGTGGAACATATCAAAGAAAACATCATTTACCCCTTGATTTATGTTAGTCCAAAACACCGGAGCCTGAGATGAATAATGTGGGACATTTGGCACTCCCGTGTTGACATTATTTGTCTCTCCCTACACATTAAAATAAAATAAGTAACAAAAAACCAATTTTATTAAAATTCTTGTAATCTTGTATAATAAAACAAAATACCAATTTTATTAAAATTCTTGTAATCTTGTAGAATAAAATAATAAAAGCATCATTTACCTCTTGAGTCTTCTTTTTTGACCTACTTGAATTTCCCACCTTTTCTTTGTCCCGTTTTTTTTCTTGCTCTTGTTGTCCCAATGACGTGTTATTTGAGCATTTGTAACTCCCCTTGACTTGGTAGGAGGTGGATTGCGGACACGGACATTATCTTCATCAACCAATTCATCACATGAATCATCCATGTCCAAATTCTTCAAAAGAGAAGATATTTCTTCATTTTCTTCTTCAAGAATTTCAGTAAACCTACTTCTCGTCTCCCGCTGTGATTTGCTACGATGAACCAAGTCATAAGAGGTCCTCATTGCATGGTTCACAAACGTCAACTCAGAAACACCACCATTTCCATGAGGAGTATATCCTCTTTCAAATTCTTTACAAAACCTTTGTTCCGCTTTTCATGACCAACAACTCATGATGTGTGGCTCAGGCAACACAATGATATTCATAGAAATGAAAACCTTTAGTGCATGTCTACATAGTATTCCCCTTGTTTCAAACAAATGATAGGAGCAATTCACTTCGATATCATTTTGCCGAAAAAACACTTGCCTAACTTTTGAGTCGTCGGTATGAGACCGCAAACTGAATCCAAGCCAACCATTACCAATATCATTTTGAGCAATAATTGCAATATTCAAAGACTCAACAAATTCTCGCTCGAATAACTTATATATTGAGAAAGTATATACTTCAGCGGCGTGCGACAACAAGGGATTATTTTTAACAATTTGGCCCAGCCTCCCATGCTTACAATGAGCATCGTCATCTCTCTCAGTAGCCCTCCATTTATTTTGAACTTTTTCATAGTTCAAAACAAATTGGTGCAAAGTAAGAGTCTTATTACCCAAATCTTTCAAGACACGATTTGTTACCTCACTTCTTGAAGTGGCTTGTAGACCTGCACAAAATTTGTCATTACTAAAAGCTGTGACCTATCTCTTTCTCAATTTGTACATACCCTTTAGCCATTTGTGTTCATGAAGACTGTACTGCTCAATCATTCGCTTCCACGTAGTCTCAAACTCATCTACAGAATCACAATATGTCATGCATTTATACCATAACTTCTTAAACTCCGATTCACCATTTAAACGTCCTAAATGGGATGGAGCATTTTGATTGATATGTCATTGACATAAACGATGATGCGAATGTGTGAACACTTTATCAATAGCATTCATCATGGCTTGACATTGATCAGAAAAGAAAACTTGTGGATGTTTTCCATTCATAATCAAGAAATGTAGAAAATAACCACTCAAACGAACTTTCAGTTTCATCGGACAAAAAAGCCAGGCCAAACATCACGTACTAGCCCATTCAATGCTAGGCATAATGATTTATACCGACAAATGGAGCACAAATCAAATTGTACTTATTTGTTTTGTAAGTTGTATCAATCGATAGCATATCACCAAAAAAATCGTAATCGACTGCACATCTTTGATCCCTGAAGAAAAAGTTCATTATCCGATTATCATCATCCAACTGTACATTCCAAAAAAATTGATTTTCCACATTTAATTTGTTTATAAAATACTGAAGCAAACTAGCAGCATCTCCATCTTCAACTTTTGTTTGCCTCTTTAGACGACTGAAATGATCATATGCATCTTTTACGGTAAAACCCAAATTATTTGCACCATGAGCCTCATTTTCCATAAAAGAAACGGCATTAGTAACACTAATTCCTGCATTGACCATAGCTTCTAGAGTAGATTTTTTAGCATGCGTGATATTACGTGATGATCTTAACAAATGAGTTTGATCAGGTTGAACCATTTCATGATTGTGCTCAACATAAAATCTACTCACTTTCCAGTCCCCTTCTCTCTCCCTCGTAATTCTACTTCTTGCTTTGCATTTTGTTCTAGTTACCAATTTTTGATACTCAGGAATATTGTTCCTAGAACGTCTTTCATCCTTAACTCCTTCACAAGAACATTCAAATTCTTTCATTCGTAGTTCTTTAGTGCCCAAAAAGTATCCCTGATCACCTTTTTTAACACTAAAACCTTTAGCATGTGCATATTGACAGTAGAGCAAATATGCTTCTTCAATGTTATTCACTTTCATGCCAACTGCTAGTCTACTTTCTAAATGTTCTACTACAGATTCAAATGATTGAACCTCAGTTTGGTGGAGGAGAAGAAAGCCCAATAACTTGTTCTTGAAGCTCTTCACCATTATCCTCCAAGTCTTCACATTGCGGATTCAGATCCATTATTTTAATATTACCTACAAAAACAAAGAATTAATCAGCAAAGGCAAATATTAATGTAGTGAACAGAACATAAGTGAACAGAAGAAGAAACAACAGCACAATTAAATATTACTTGAAATAGTAGTCATAATGCTAACACAATAGCCAGCAAAAATGCTAACAGAAACAATTTCAACTCAACTAAAAAGGGTGACTTCATTTGAGCACTATGTTCTGGTATCCTTATTTTCACTAGTATAGCCAATTACAGTCACTAGCAGGGAAAGATTGCTCCATCTCCTATATTCAGTTGAAATTGAAATTGTTTCATTTGAACAATGTCAACCTTTGCCAAATTCAAATGCTATATTCAATTGAAGTTGAAATTGTTTCATTTGGAAAGATTGACTGTAATGTCACCAGAATAATTGAATGTTCAAATGCTCCATCTCCTATGTTCAAATGCTAACAGAATAATTGAATGTCAACCTTAGCCAAATTCAATTACTTGATGTTTTTTTTTCTTTTTTATTTCTTTTACAAATTCACATGTTTTTTCTATTGAGTAATGAAACAATTACTGATACTAAATAGATAGCAAAGTGTGAAACAATTTATCTAGTGTTCATTTTTCTTCAAACAAATAGATAGACATTCAAAGAAAACCTAGCATCACAGAAAACCTAACAGGATTCAAAAATTGACAAATAGATAGACATACAAAGAAAAATTTGCATCTGTGAAACAATTTACCTCTCTTAAATGCCTGCGAGCTGAAGAAGATTAAATTCTATCGGATTTTTCTCTTTTAAAGAAGCTCAACCTCTCTCGGTGCTTTTTCTCTCTCTGTTGTTTCAGAATTTTAGATCTGAAAAAAAAAAAAAAAAAAAAAGCGGGATTTTGAATTTTAGATCTGTTGCTAAAGTGTAATGTAACCATGGTAAGTAAATAAAAAATAAATGAAAATGAAATATAAAAGTTGCTGGCGGAAAAAAATAAAAAACAGCTGAAAAGTTTTCTGTCCACGTGGCGCGCTGTGATAGGTGAACAGTAAAAATGGGTGCCACCCGCGCGGGTGGCATCGACTAAACCCCGCTTTAGTGAACAACCACCATCAATCGTCATAACAATAATAATGGCAATAATAACATTAATAATGATAATAATAGTATTATTATAAATAATTCTAATAGTAATGATAATAATAATAATAAACTAATAACAAAACTAACACAAAAGTTGAACTACGTCCAAGTCGTGTATATAATTCTGCAAATAACAGTAATTTTAATAATCCTAATAATTATTTAGTAATAATAAATTATTTCACACAATTTTTTGTGTCGGAAATAAATCTGAATCAAATGTTCCACTTGCTCCCACGATTCGCGTGATAAGCACCGAAGTCATTCGGTCGGGTTATTGTGGCGTATCGCGGTCTTTACATAAGCAACCGAATACGCATATGAATTTTTACCGGCGAAAGGGATTGTACCGGCAATAAAATACCGTGGGCTAGCAAAGTACCAAGCACCTGATTTTCGTGTGTATGTGATAAGCGGTGAACATGACCGAAAATCTCAGCCAACCACACACATTCAATGTTGGCTATAAATGTGAAGTAAATTTACACACTCTAGCTAAAGGTAGGCAAATGATGATTTCTATTTAAAAACTGAGTTGATATGTACCTACCGAATTAAATACGGTGTAATTAAGTGTTGCAATGGCCAAAACACGGGTATATAAATACATGCAAGGAAGTTGACCACCAACACCAAACTTCACTAACTCAGTGTGTTGTGTAGGTTCATAAATATATTTCTTTCTCTTTTTAAACAACATGTAATATACCAGAAATGTTATTGGGAATAATTGACTTTACTTTTGTTTCCACGTAACAGGTGCATGCATGAGTGTCATGGATCGGATGACGAGCCTATAGAACATTGCGCGCCTTTTCCGGCTAAAGGGGTGGACCGAGCTCGAAGAGAAGGTTTGTTATCGCCACTTTCTTCAGATGTGTGGTGAAACAGACGACGTTGACAGCCCTCTCGTCCTCAATTCCATGTGGTTCGAATTAGCCCGAGAGTTATCGGACCTCATGCAAAAGGATTTCTCATGGATGAAGGTGCGGGAGAAAATCCATTGTCTTCAAGGGCATTACCGTGAGTTCTTTCGCTTCATGACCATCCCGGGAGTTCGAGTGCATGACGACGGCGGTTTGGTTAGCGTCAACAGAGAGTATTGGAACGTCGTCGGAGAGGTAATTATAATTGGTTAATTTTTTCGGTCTTTGTTTGGTTGTTTTTTCTTTTTTTAGTTAACTTATTTTGGCGCATTGGCATGTAAAATGTTGTATACTGAAAAGCATAATGTATTAAAAAAAGGATTTACATAATGTGCAGGAGTCCAATCTGAAAGTGTTCTTCCGTTCGAATGGGTTCAAATGGTACAATCATTGTGTGCAGTTGTGGAACTTACGCGGGGCAGCTGATGTGGACGTCCAAACAAACCCCGGTGGGACAATTCAATTTGCCTAGATGAAACTATGTCATATGTGGGGTCGGAAGATGACATGGAGGATGAGTTTGATGAATATGAGGTTCAACAGGTTGTTGGCAGCCCAATCCATGACCAGCCAGTTCCAATGGATCCGCAAGACGACGATCAGGAGTTCATGGATCACAGGTCGGATGTGGACTCCTGCGTCGACTCCGTTTGAAGATAGAACGTACTTTTCGGGACGACCTTACAACTCTTTTTGTTATTTTGGTCCCGACCATATCATTCCTGTTTTAACTTTATGTGAAGTATGTATTCTGTATTAAAGTTTAAGTAGTGGGGGTATTTTATAAGTTGGGTGGCTAGGACTTGTCTTTAATTTTGTTCACAAATCTCCCAATGTTTTGGTGTGTTTTGTGCCTATTAAAATGGTCGCATGGCATGTAATGGGAGATTGGATCATAGCTGCCATATTTTGTATAAAAGTTTAATGTCAATATTGGCACTACTTATCTAGTAGAAAATGTGTTTGTTTGAAAGTTTTGAGTCGCATGATATATACAAAATGTTAGGCAGCTTAACATATTACACTTCCCCATAATATAATATCTGCTTCGATTGGTCTGATCGCTCGAGTGCCTTGCATGGACTAGTACATGTTAATTGAAGATAATTTTGGTAAACATTATAGGAAAAAAAAATTAGAACAACACATTTAAATATCTCCACAGGTTGTTTCATTTATTTAATTTGGCTGAATATTTAGATTGTAATATAAATTATGAATGATATCAAACGTTTTCGCAATAATAGATAAACCAGTCGAAAATCATGTCCATCTAAGAATCGGAATCGTAGAATCGGATCGTAAAATCGTAAGACTCTACTCAAAACGTCTAAATTAATTATTTTAACAAGTTTTATGGTAATCATCAAGAATATGTATCAAAATGCTAAAAAAAACCACCACTTGTTTTTCAAAATATAAATGTTCAAATTTTAACACTGCGCGTTCAAATTTCAAAGTTAACACTTACAAATACATAGACACGGCCATTCAAACGTCACATATAGTCCAAACTCCAAAGTCAGAACCAAAGTCACGACCATCAAGGCATCAACCAAAACTTCAATCTTCCTAATTCCTAAAACTGTGATTCTGTGAACTTCCCCTGTTCCAACAATGATAAAAAAAAATTGCAGGGAGATAAGTAGGGATAAATAGTTACCTCTAAACAGGAGAACAACAAAGCGATGAAGCTTAATTGCTGAGAAGTCTGCTCCGACGAAGAAGATGCAGGCGTCGAGGTCGAGCCATTTTAACGTCGGAGTTCGAACTGTCGGAAGCTACAACCGTGTGAACTGTGGACTGTGGAAGATTGGGGGCCGAAGAAGAAGTGAGAGAGAGATGGATTTGAGTTTAACGTCGGAGTACGACGGTCGGCCGGCGAGGGATGAAGGTGAAGAAGTCGCGATTCGCAACGGAAGAGCAGAGGGAATTAGGAGAAAATGAATTCGAATTAGGGATTTTAGGATTTTTGGGTATTTTTTATATTTTTTTTTATTAATTTGTTTTGGATTGGGTCAAGGGAAGGGAATATTTATGCTTCTTTGGGCCAATTTGTGTGAAAAAAATCGAAAGAAACAGCTCAAGTGCCTAAACGCAGCCCACTTTTAAAATCTGGTTCATTTTTTAAATTTTGCACAGAATCGGTCAAAGTCATAGAATCGGTCCGATTCTACTATTTTGACCGATTCTACCGATTCTGCAGCGAATCTACATTCCTTTGCGATTTTCAGCGACTTAGAATCGATTTTGTGACTTTGAGTCGTAGAATCAGTGATTCTACGACTCAAAGTCGCGATTTTCATAACCTTGGTCCCACTACCCTGCCTTGGAATGTTGACATGTGCATGTGTATTAACTGTACCTTCTGATGAAGCGTCACGTTCTCGGAAAAATCTTTGCAGAATACCATTGTTTCCGATTGAACTATTTAATGATGCATTGGTGAGTGAAGAAAGCAAGAATACGTACGATTGTTCAGTTAGCCTCGCTAAATCATTTTCTTGGTGGAATTTTGGTCCAACACCACCGCTGCGTCCGATGTGGCTTCGTAGACCTCTGTGAACAAGTATTGTATGTCCGCCCAACGGGGGTCCCTATAATGTTGATATGCCACTGAGAATGGGTCAGAATGCATACAAAAATGTTATGCACTGTCAGGCAAGATAAAGAAAATACATCATGAATTGGTAATATTTTAGAAACTGTGTTACAAGAAATGAAAACTTAAAAGCATAATGGATTTTTCTAGCGGGAGAAAATACATGCGTTTATTGTTTAATATTGAAGAAACGGTGTTACAAGAAATGACAACATAAAATAGGCACGGAATTTCCATAGGGTGAGAAAATACATGTGTTTGCATCAAATTCTCAAAAATAGTGGTAAGACAATTTATTTAAAACCCATTCAACATAAGAGGCCACCATTATTTGCCTTCATCACTTAGCAACTGGAATCCACGGCCCATCTGTGTGACAGTTTCTACTAAACTTTAAAGAACACAATGAAATAGGACTAAGCGCGGTGGTATAATAAATGGTAATGGATTACCTCGAAGATATCATTCCACACTGCTACTGGAGCGGTCAGGACGTTGGACTGTATGCAGTGGCGTAGCCCATGTTTTCGTAGCATCCAACCAAAAACGCAGAACCGTTTGTGAAGGAAATCGAACCGTTCCTGGAGTTCATTCATAATGAAGGTTGCACCGACATCTGCAACCAAAACACCACGGCAGTAAAGGAAGACATAAGTGTCTGATCTGCCCTGTCTCCATTCACCAGCAACATGTGCCTCCGAAAGGAGGTCTATGAACAGGTTATCGACTTCTTTGGTCCACCGACCATCGTAAAGAAGCTCATCCTGAGTGGCTTCCCTTCCCAAACGTGGCATTACACTGCTATATTAATTAGATTGGAGGAATTGTTAAGTATATCCTATGATCTGGCCGACCCTTGCGTATATGAAATTAATAGGTGATGGAGTGTGTTTATATAGAACAAAACACGAAAACGATGAGTAGGGTGCTTTACAGTAAAATAAAAACCACAATATTAGTTGTCAATAACTGAAAAAGCTGAAAAAGATGTTCAATACACCGTTTTTTACCCTTTTTTTTCCTGCTTGTCAATCATTCTGCCAAATTGGATCTTATTCCATTTTCGAATCTTGACGAAATTGACATAAACAAAATCAGATGAAGTTGCAGGGAATATCATGATACATTTTTTGAATAGGAACACATGGGCTGAGAATATTCGTACTGTTGATAGGACAGAACAACATAACAATTCTTGCTCTTTTTAAATCAAATTTGTAGACATGTGCACAACACTTGTGTCTTTCTT